GACACGGGGGGACACGGGGGGGCCAGCGGGAAGTTCAGGAAGTCCGGCCCTTCCGGCCACGCGGGAGCGCGCGGGGGGGCACCCGTCCCGCTCGGGGGTCCCGCGGGGTCCGGGGGGGTTCATCCCACCGGGGCACCCCCCCGCCCTGGGGTCCGCCTACACCAGGAGACCCCTCCCCGTGCCCGGTGTGCCCGCGGGGGGGGTGGCACCCGCGGTGTCACCGTGTCCCCCCCCCGCGGCACTCGAGGGGTGACTCAGCCCCGCCAGGGTGGCGACAGCTCCGGCCCCGCGTGGGGGGGCGGGAAGGGGCCCCGTGTCCCCACAATGTCCCCCCCGTGTCCCCCCGTGTCCCCCTTACGTAGCCGTAGGTCAGGTTGCCAGCCGGACTCACCCAGAAGATGAAGTTGAAGAAGAAAACCAAGAACTTCACACACTTCATGCCGCCCTCGATCGCCATGGCTGCGGGAGCGGCGGCTCAGCACCGGCACCGGCACCGGGCCCGCGGCCGGTACCGCTCCCCGCGACCCAGGAACCGCCGGCCCGGGCCCTGCCCCGCTACCGGTACCGGCACCGGCACCGCTCCGCCCGGCCCGGAGCTCCCGGTACCGCTCCCGGTGCTCCCGGTACCGCTCCACCCATTCCGGTACTCCCGGTACCGCTCCCCTCCCGCTCCCGGTACCGCTCCCCTCCCCGGCCCGGTGCTCCCGGACGTCCCGGTACCGCTCCCTCCCAGGTCCCGGTCCCGGAGTTCCCGGGGCTGCTCTCCCCCTGCCCCGCTCCCCCTCCCGGTCCCGGGGGTCTCGGTACCACTTTCCCCCATTCCCGGTGGTCCCGGTCCCGTCCCCCCCCCATTCCCGGTGGTCCCGGTCCCATTTCCCCCCCCGTTCCCGGTGGTCCCGGTGGTCCCGGGGCCGCTCCCGGTGCCGCTCACCGCCGCCCCTCCCGAGCGCTCCGGGATCATGTGACGGACGGGGACGAGCCAGGAGAGCCCCGGGCCCGCCCCGGGCCCGCCCCGGCACCGGCACCGCCCCCGGCCCGCCGCACACCGGGGCTGCGGGACCCTTCACTGGGGACCCTTCATTGGGGACACTTTATTGGGGACACTTGGGGACACCGAGGGGGACCCGGGACTCTGAGCCGCCACCGCGCCCCGCACCGCGGTCCCAGAGCCCCCCGACCCGCACCGGGGGTCCCTGTCCCCCCCTGACCCCTCACCCGGGGGTCCCTGTGACCCCTGACCCCGCACTTGGGGTCCCTGTCCCCCCGACCCCTGACCCGTGGTCCCTGCTGTCCCTGCTGTCCCCCTGTCCTTGGTCCCGGTCACCCTGGTCCTGCACCCCAAGGCCCTCGGGACCCCCAGCCCCTCACCCTGGGGGTCCCAAACCCCCTGGACCCTCCCTCTTGGGGGCCCAGCCCCTCCTGACCCCACACCCGGGGGTCCCTGTCACCCCCTGACCCCACACCCGGGGGTCTCTGTCACCCCCGACCCCCACCCCAATGTCCCCCAGCCCCCCAAATCCCCACTCCAGTGTCCCCTAGCCCCGTGTCCCCCCTGTCCCCCGTGTCCCCGCTGTCCCCGGTGTCCCCGGTGTCCCCGCTGTCCCCGGTGTCCCCCAGCCCGTCCAGCGCGGCCAGCACGGCCCGCAGGTGCGGGGGGTGCACGAAGGCCACGAGCCCCCCGCGGTTGGCCCAGCGCTGGGGCCCGGCCCGGCCCGGTTCCGGCCGGTTGTAGAGCAGCTCGGGGGGGTCCCCGGGGTGCCCGTCCCGCCGCGCCCGCAGCGCCCCCTCCAAGGCCACCACGCCGCCGCCCAGGGCCCGCAGGATGGCGTGGGGGGCACACGAGTCCCAGGCGAAGGTGGTGGCCTGCGACAGCACGAAGGCGTCCGCCAGCCCCAGCGCCACGCACAGCAGCTTGTAGCCCGCGCCGGCCGCGAAGAGCGGGGGACCCCCGCCCAGCGAGGCCAGCGCCCCCCGCACCGCCGCGGCCTCGGCCCGGCTCAGCACCACGCGGGGAC